TTTTGCCGCTGAGCTAAATCCCCAGCCCCTAGCTATAAAATATTATAAATGATAAATTTTTCTTTTTTAAAATTTTTAAATTTTTTTTGTTTTTTTTCCAGTACCGGGGATCAAACTCATGACCTTACGCTTGCCAGGCAGGCGCTGTGCCGCTGAGCTAAATCCCCAGCCCCCATAAATGATAAACTTTAGTATCAAGCATCTTCCAAAAGCTTTTTCTGTAGGTCTTGCCAAGGCCTGGAGAAGGTGGGCATCACCTCACTTATTGAAGCAGAATATCATGAATTTTTACATCAGAAAGAAGCTGTCTGGAGGGACAGACTGGGTCTTTAATCTCGAGTTTCTAGAGGTTCTAAAACTTCTCTTTGCAATAAAGACCTAGAAAAAGTACATGATTTTTGAACTGGTCCCTAAGTGCTGTGATTGTTCCTGGTTATAAAACTAAATGAGATTAAGGAGTAGCTGGAAGACTAGCTCCGGGCTGTTGCCTCCTTTGTGGGTACCATGGAGTCCACCAATTTGTGAGCTGGCTCAGGGTGGTTTTAGAATAACGTATTTTATGAAATGTGCATCTCGTTCTGTGCAGGTTACACTGGAGACCTTTGCCAATCCAAGATCGACTACTGTATCCTAGACCCATGCCGAAACGGAGCCACTTGTATTTCTAGTCTCAGTGGATTCACCTGCCAGTGTCCAGAAGGTAAAATATTAATTCCTACTCTGGAAATGCTTGTGATTTTTCACTTTAACTCATACATGAATTTGATCAGCTTTGTTCTCTAAATTTCTGAAATACATGATACAAGAGCTTCCTACTTTTGTTACATATGATCACTTTTTAAAGTTCTGTGCTGGCATAGCTTGAAGATTATGTTAAAATATTAGGCATAAGCTAGGAATTTTGCTGATTTTGATTTATACACTGAAAATTAGTTTCTATAATAAAATATAGTTCTTTCTAATGGTGAAATTTCACTCAAGATTCCCATTTTTGTTAGATTATTCAGTTTTTGATACCAGTTCACATAAAAAATTCGATATGATGTTTATCTACTTTAGTTTTTATGTCAACTTTACAGTGTCTTAGAAAAGTCAGTCACCCAGAAAGCCATATCTTTAGGGCTACTTTTATTTTATAGATTCACCTTTTATAGATATTTTATAGATTATTTTATAGATTCACCGTGAGACTAGTTTTCCTGAGGGAGGAGGTAAATAATTATAGGTAGTCTCTGGTGTTCAAGGAGTGATTTCATCCTTCCAGGAAGTTTTGTTTCCATTTTTGCTTGGAGGGATGCTATGAAAGGGATTACTTTAAACCGTTAATGTTACAAGAATACCATGGTGTTAGAAGTCCCGCCCCCCCAACCTTGAAGCCATTGTATGGGCCCCTGATCCACAGAAGTGACACTGACAACTACATAAAAATAGTCACACCTCCACAGAGATTAAATTTTGAGCCTGAGTGCTTAAGGAAACACCTCTGTACTCAAAATTATCTTCTACAGGCCCTGGCTGAGAGCACCGAGGAGGGCAGGGTGCCAGTGGGCTTGGATAGGAGGCCACTATGGTCTCCCAGGTAACCTAAGTGCTGGGAACCCAGGAGCTGCACCTGTGAAGAACAATACCTAATATTCTTCACCATTTAGGAGAAATGAACATCAACACCAAGGGCAGGTTCTCCTCTCCCAGGTCTTGTGCAGGCCCAGGGGTGAGGTGGGCTAGCTGTGGTCCACCAAACTGTTCCACTCTAGTAGATAATGAACTTGGTTACCATGGGAGTGGGTTACGCAGGCTTGGCTAGCCTGTTCTTCTCCCCCTCTTGTCTTACTTTACAAAGCAGGCAAACAAATGTAGTCAGAGGGACTGAGACAGAGCAGGCAGCATCACTGTCACTTACTTATGAGCACTTTGCAGGTTTTAAAGCTTTGTCACGCCCCGAATGCCTCCATGACACCTACCTCTGGTTGTAGACCTTGTTATTTAGCCGAGAACAGGCTTAAGAGCCATTCTGGGGTCAAATGGGATTTTTGTAAAAGAGCTTGGACACCTCCAAAGTGCTGCATTGTGATTGCTTTGATTTTTTTATAATGAGACCCCAGAGGTTCACAGAAGAGGAGACTGCAGAATCACACTGGTAATAGGGATCGCCTTGGAACGAGAACCAAGAAATTTTCCTCTCACACAAGACCTTATTTTCTGAGTTGGTCAAGATTTTCTGAGCACTTCCTTTACCCAGGTGCTGCTCAGGGTACTGGGATATGACACTTAGTGAGGCTGAGCTGAGCCCTCCTGGGGCGCACCATGAGTAAGCATGTAACGACCGGCAATAGATACCCTGAAAATGTGCAAAAGGGATCTGCCCAGCCTTGGGGTCAGGAGAGACTCCCGTGAGGTGAGGCCCCAGTAGAGGAGAGGAGAGGGAGGAGGTGGCAGCAGGCTGAAAGGAGCGGGACCAGGCTGCACGGCGTCCTGGGCCAGAGGAAAGGGCTTGACCTTCACCCTGGAGGGAAGAGCAGCAGAGGGTTAGTCTAAGGCCCAATTCCACCACTGGACAAGTGCCTTCACCTCTTGGTGCCTGAGAGAAAAGCATTCACTTGGCATACCCGGTGAGGTCACAGTGAGCAGCTCATCCCCTGTCACGCAGGTCCCTTCCTGCAGTTCCTCACTGGCCGAGCACTCTGGGGGGTGCAATCTTTCTGGATGCTGCCAGAGTTTTCTTTTTCTCTTTGTAAGGCAGTTACTTGGTCCCGATCCCAATTTGCATTTGGATTTCTTCATAATACTGTCTGTTCTTTACTCTGGGACTTTCTGAGAAGCAGATGTTCCTGTGTAGAGATCTCATGTGACTCGTGATTACTGAGTTTCTGCTTAGCCTTATCTGTCTTATCATGAAGATGGATCATTCCATGCCTGCCTTTTCCCTTCCCTATTCGCACCTACATTTTTCAGCAAGGCTTAGACTAGTTTATTTCTCCCCCAAGGTCCTGTTTCCTTAGGAACCTTCTAGATGCATGAACTTTGTCTGGCTGTTAGGCAATTTTAGCTGCCAGTAATTTTCCACACAGAGTTAGTTATTTTGTCCTGAAAATGGACCACTTTAAGTTTCTTTTCCTTACAGTGCCTCATTGTTTTATCTGTAAAATGCAGGTGATGATGATGGTGCCTGCTTCAAAGGGGCGGTTACCCTTCAAAGAGATAATGCAGATAAAGTGCGGAGCATATTACCTGGCTAAGTGCTCGATGAATATTAGCTAGTTTACCATTATTGTTTTCATGACAATTATTACCATTGACCGATTCAGAAACAAACAGGAGAAGTTAAAATTTTCATTCTGGAACAGTGTGGAGCATAAATTAGAGAGAGACAAGAAAGGAAGCGAGGAGAAAAGTTTGGAGGTGGTTGTAGAAGGCCAAGTGATAGATGACGGGGTTTCAGAGTAGAAGTGCAGAAAAGGGAAGAACTGGCAGGTGTGCGAGAACTCCGAGGTAAAATAGAGGGGCTCTGGAGAAGGATGGGATACTGGGGTAGAGGAGAGCAAGGTGAATTTTCCAGCAGCCTTTTTAAGAAATCTTTCCTTCAGATGTCTCTCTTCATCAAAGACTGAACAGAGATTGAGTTATCGCTTAGGCGAACTCGCAGAAAGCGTTCAGAGCTCCTCAGCTTGAGCATATAGCCGGCGAGGAGCATTTTTAAAGCGGTCCCTACCCTTGGGGAGGTTAGGGTAGTAGCTAAATTTATAGAGCACCTTGATCCTTGAGAAGAGCCTGCGCTCTAGAATCCTGCTCACAGTCAGCCACACCCTGAAAGCAAATTTGACAGTTGTCTCAAATCTGCAGAACTGAAGCTGGGAGAGAGCCTTCAACCCTCGCACTTCCTTTCCACTTCTCCTTTGCGCCTTCGTCTTCTTTCTGCCTCCTCCATCTCCCGCTGTGAGCTAGCCCTTGAGGGAAGGGAATGCATTGTAGTCATCTTCCTGTCCTCACTTACTCCCGACATCTTCTCTGCAAATCGTGTTTTATGCTGGCAGAAGGTTAATTAATATTTGGCGGATTATTCAATCGTAAAAGTCAACAATTTGATATCACTCATCTCTGTTGTATTTCTTTTTGGTAAAGACTGTAGAATCCTTTTACAGCAATCTCTGCCAGGCCAGAGAGCTGTGAAAAACCACGCTTTCCCTCGGGGTACTGCTTAACATCCCGCGTCCATACCCCGGCCCTTTCCTGTCCTTTTTGCACACATGCTTTTTCCCTTCAAGGGTCCTTTCCCATCTGATCTGGGCCAGGTCCTCAGAGAGTGATTCCTTCCTCAGTGTTGTCTCTTCAACATCTCCATTCTCTGAAGTCCCTTTTCCAAGGTTCAAAGTCACACACCTGAGGGATGGGTGTCTTCCTCCCCAAGGTTTCATCCTTCGTCAAGAACTTCTGGCTTTTCCTTGAATTCCTAATCTACTTTCACGAGGGCCACATCTGAGAACTATGACTTCAGATTCTGGTTACAGCAGGGGTGCTGAGAAATGGAAGTAAAAACATCGTGAATATTTTCTCTAACCGGTCTTACTGAACGATTACAACAAATACAAGTAATTGGGACCCGATATTGCTTATGAATGTATTCCTAACCCTGACATTATCTTTATACCTGAAGATTTCTAAATATATATACTCATGATCACTGTACATTGGCATTTAAATGTGTATATTTTAATATATGAATGTAGAGCTGGGCATGGTGGCACACACCTGTAATCTGGATAATGGCAGAAGAACCATGAATTGGAGGCCAGCCTGGGCAAGGAAGTGAGACCCCTCCATCTCAAAAAATATATATTTAGTTATATATGTAAATGTGAATACTATATCTAGGTACTGTCGTTACTTCAGCATCTCCATTTTTATTCCGTTTTTTTCTTGGGGAATTTGAAGAACACAACATAAACTAATGAAGAATGGTAAGAAGCAACAGTGGTTAAAGCACTGAGCAGTAAAGGACACTCTGGTTCTGCAGTGTGAACGGGGACCTTGTGCAGAGAACACCGGGCAGAATGGTACCACCTGCCTGGCATCCACCTGTTATAGCTGGCATATGGCAGCGAGACCAAAGCGAGAACATGGGCTTCATGTACTGTTTTGAGAAAATACTTTATCTAATACATTTAAAAGCATGAACGTTTTAAAATGTTCAAATGTTTAAAACCATGAAACATTTCCTAGGTTGGATAATAGACACAGAGACTTTGTATTAATTGTTCTTGCTCTGTCCTGTGAACGTGAGCATTGCAACTGAGCGGGTGTCTTGGGTCTTTCAGTCCTATGAGTATTAAAACAAGGCGTTGGAGTTTGCTCGCTGATCCTGAAGCTCTTATAACATGGACACTTCCATGGCATACCCCAGTGTGGTGCAGCTCAGGAGACCTGAATCTGGGCCCAGTGATGGAAGTAACAGAACGTTTTTTTTTTTTTTTTTTTTCCTCCGGTACTGGGAACCGAACTCACGACCTTGCACTTGCCAGGCAGGCGGTTTTGCCGCTGAGCTAAATCCCCAGCCCCTGAACTGAGTGGTTTTAACTGTGAGTTTTAGGGTCCTGCGGCTTAGGTTTTAAGGGTGATACTAGTACACACCTTTGGAATGAATGGGTGTGAAAAAGAAAAGACTCTTAGCTCTGTGCTTGACAAATAGTACTGAATGCATTTTAG